ATTGAAGAAGATCTAAATAAATGGAAAGACATCCCATGTTTATGGATTGGAAGGCTTAATAGTGTTAAGATGGCAATACTCCCCAAATTGATCTACAGAGTCAATGCCAACCCTATCAAAATTCCAAGTGGATTTTCTGCAGAAATTGACAAGTTGATCTTAAAATTTGCATGGGAATGCAAGGGACCCAGAGTAGCCAAAACCATCTTAGAAATGAAGAGCAAAGTTGGAGGACTCACACTTCCCAATTTCAAAACTTACTACAAAGCTACAGTAATCAAAACAGTGTGGCACTGGTATAAGGATAGGGATATAGATCAATGGAATAGAATGGAGAGTCCAGAAATAGACCTTCGCATTTACAGTCTATTAATTTTTGAACAAGGTGCCAAGACAATTCAATGGAAGAGGAATAGTCTTTCAACAAGTGGAGTTGAGACAACTGGGTATCCACATGCAAAAGGATAAAGTCAGACCCCTCTTATACACCGTGCACAGAAATCAACTCTAACTGGATAATAGACCTAAGGGAAGAGTTAAAATGATAAAACTCTTAGAAGAAAGGATAAGAGTAAATCTTCACGATCTGGGGTTAGGCAAAGCCTTCGTAGACACAAAAGCACAAACGACACAAGAGAAATTAGATAATTTGGACACCATTAAAATTTAAAAGTCTTGCACTTCGAAAGACACCCCCAAGAAAGTGGAAGGACTATCCACAGAGTGGGAGAAAATGTTTGCCAATCAGATATCTGATAAGGTACTTGTGTGTAGAATATATAAAGAACGCTTACAACTCAACAATAAAAAGACAAATAATCCAGTTGAAAATGGGCAAGGGATCTGAATAGACATTTCTCCAAAGATGATAGGAAAATGGCCAATAACCACGCAAAAAGATGCTCAACATCATTAGTCGTTAGGGAAATGCAAATCAAAACCACAATGAGATACCACTTCCCACCTGCGAGAATGCCTATAATAAAAAACAGACAGACAATAACAAGTGTTGACAAAGGTGTGGAGAAATTGGACCCTCATCCTTTGCTGGTGGGAATGTAAAATGGTGCAACTCCTTCGGAAAACAGTCTAGCAGTTCCCAAAAGATTAAACATAGCGTTATCATATGACCCAGCATTTCCACTCCTAGATATATACCCAAGAGAAATGAAAACTTGTTCACACAAAAACTTGTACATAAATGTTCATAAATATTCAAAGAGTGGAAACAAACCCAAATGTCCATTACCTGATGAACGGATAGGATAAATAAAATGTGGTGTATCCATACAGTGGAATATTCTTCTGCAATAAAAAGGAATGAAGTACTGGGGTCGACCCGGTGGTGCAAGTGGTTAAGTGCTCGTGCTCCGCTGCGGCGGCCTGGGGTTCTGCGGTTCGGATCCCGGGCGCGCACCGATGCACTGCTTGTCAAGCCATGCTGTGGCGGCATCCCATATAAAGTGGAGGAAGATGGGCACGGATGTTAGCCCAGGGCCAGTCTTCCTCAGCAAAAAGAGGAGGATTGGCAGGTATTAGCTCAGGGCTGATCTCCTCACAAAAAAAAAGAAAAAAAAGGAATGAAGTACTGATTAAACTACAACATGGATGAACCTTGAAAACATTATGCTAAGTGAAAGACTCTGCTCACAAGAGGCCACATATTGTATGATTCCATGTATACAAAATGTCCAGAATAGGCGAATCTATAGAGAAGGGAAATGGATTAGTGGTTGCCCAGTGCTAGGAGGATTGGGGGAAATGGGGATGGGTTGCTAATAGGTATGGGATTTCTTTTTGTGAGGAAAACGTTCTAAATTGATTGTGGTGATGGTCACACAACCTTGAAAATATCCTAATAATACACTAAAAACCTTTGAATTGTACACTTTAAATAGATGAATTGTATGGCATGAATTATATCTCAAAAAAACAGTTAAAGGAAAAGAGAAGGCAAATGCCTAGCACATCAATCTTAAATATTATCCGGGAGCCCACTTGGTGGTGGGAGGAGGCTCATGTGAGAGCCAGGAGACCTGGAGCTCCGAGCTGACTCTCCCTCAGGCCCGGGGGGCACAGAGCCGAGGGCCCACAATGCTTTCACAGACCCACAAAAATGATTTAATTTCTTTTAAAACCAGAACAACAAAAAATAAACTTTTAGGTGAAGAAAAATTTTAATATATAACGTTAATATATTCATCTTTAACCAAGGCAGTTGTAAAATACAACTTTTAATTTAAGTTTTTTATTTAGGAAGGGAGCCAAAGGCAAAAGTCCCTAAGGCCCACCAAAGTCTTGATGTGGCCGTGGGTGCTGGTCTGAATTTGGCCATTAACATCTTCCCTCTCCAGCTTTGAGAAAACAATATAACATTAAAGAAAGTTTAAAATAATTCATTCAAAAGCCATCCATTTTGGCACACCACCTATTTTTATTCTTTTCTAAAATTCTCCCTTTTAGTTCTTGGCTGTCAATAAACGTCTCTTTCAGCGGGTTATAATCTCGGTACCACTAAGGTGCTGTGAGGTCCTGGCTGGTCACTCAACAGGCTGAGCCTTGTTTTCTTCATCTGTAAAGGGAGGAGAGCGTCCTGCATCTCAGTAGAGAGCCTGGGGAGGAAGCAAGCATGATGGAACCACAGGAGTGGCATCCACTCACCTGTGGCCTCGTGATTCTTTGGAAGGGGTGACGTGAATAAGAGAGGAGTCCACTCCTTAGCTTAGCACTCAAGACCCTTCGGGATCTGGCCTCCACCTTCCTTCTCAGCCTCATCTCCCACCATGCCCCCCTATCTGCCTTTGCAGTTATATGGGGCTGGAAGGGAGTTCAGGAGCCCAAAGAGACTTCAAGGGACCTTCTTAGAGAAGAACTTAGGAAGCTCCACGAAGACACAGGGGTTGACAATGCTGGAAGCTTCCAGATCTTTTTCACTCCCCAACCCACATTGGTTCCATTTTGACCCAAAATCTATCTCCTTTCTGGGATCAGCAGTAAAATCTTTAAGCCAGAGGTTGTAAGCTCACCCTAACGTTCATCCGATCTAGTGTCTCAGGGCCCAGCTGGGTGGTTTAAGTGAGGCTAGGGGTAAAGCAGCAGGGAGTGGTGGAGACTGTGGCAAACTAGGGAGCAATGCCCCATCCGAAGGCAGCAGCATCTGCGTGGTCCCATTTGAGTTTTGCCGTGTGAGGCTGTGGGCCCAGCATGGCCAGATCTTCTGATTCTTTAGGAGAAAACTGGAAGTCTGTATGTGTAGCAACATTTTTCCTATTTTTAGGATCCTGTGTGGGCAAAACAAAATGTGCTTGTGAGCGGGGGTCCAGTGTGTGTTCCCTTCATTACAAACGGCCTGGAGGCTGGGCCACGTCTTGATCATCACTGCATCCTCGGTGGCCGGCACAAGTCCTGGCATCAAGGAGACCCTGGAGGAAAGACTGAGGAGTTGAAGTTTCTTATAGGCATAAGGTTTGGGTGGAAGGCATTCGTTCATTCATTCATTCATTTGTCCATATACTCCTTCAACAAATATTTATTGAGCACTCGCTATGTACCAGGCACTGTTCTAGGTTCTAGGGGTCCAGTGGGAAGAGAGATGGGGAGTGTTGGGGAGTGTGTTTGAAATATTAAATAGATTAGTTAGGAAAGTCCTCCCTGAGAAGGTGACATTTGAGGAAAGTGATCAAGGAGAGGAAGAATAAGCCATTCAGCTATCTGAGGGAAGAATGCTCCAGGCGGAAGAAGTAGCATGTGCAAAGGCCCTGAGGCAGGAGTGTGTCCGGCACATTTAAGGATCAGCAAGGAGGCCAGTGTGGCTGGAGTGGAGTGAGCAAGGGAGAAGCTAGTAGTCAGGGAGGTGATGTGGGGACAGATCACACAGGGCCTTGTAGGCCACAGTGAGGACTTAGGTTCTGACCCTGAGTGATGAATTGGGAACCATGGGAGGGTTCTGGGCAGAGAAGGGACATAATCTATCTTAGGTTATAACAAGATCCTCTGGCTACTGTGTAGACAAGGGCAGAAACAGGGAGACCCATGCTGAGGCTACTGCAACAATCTGGGTGGGAGGCAGTGGTGGCTGGGACCAGTGGAGGTGGTGAGAAGTGATCAGATTCTAGGTAGACTGCGAAGCTGGAGCCGCAGACCAGATGTGGAGGTTTGAGAGCGACAGAGAAATCAAGTTTGACTTGGCCGGAGCACTGGGGAGGATGGAGTTGCCATCTACTGAGCTGGGGATGCGTTGAGGATGTGCCCCTGACATCATGGGGCTTACAGCTTGGGGGCCATCCATCCCAGAATCACACACAGAGGCAGAGTTATAAGATGACTGGGCACTGCATAGGAGAAGGCCAAGGGGCTGTGAGTGCTTATACTACGGGGAAGTGTGTTCCTGGCAGGGGAACAGCACGTGAGAAGCCCTGGTGGTGGGAAGGAGCACAGGAGCTGGGGGTGGGGGAGGCAGAGGGAGGGGCTGCGGGTGGAGAGGCCAGTGGAAGCCAGTCCTGCGTCTACGTGAAGGAATTTGGACTCCATCCTTTAGGCAGGCATCAGAGGGTTTTGAGCAGGAGTGTGCGTACTTGTGTATGTGTGTTTGATGCGATCAGAGCTGTGTTTAGACAACATCCCTCCGGCTGCAGTGTGGAGGATGGATTGGACAGAGGCCGGAGTGGGGGCCTGGGGAGCCCAGTGGGGGCTGTTGCCCTGGTCCTGGTGGGCCTGGATGGGGTGGAGGCCGTGGAAAGGGGCCGACGAGGAGGCTTTGAGGAGCCACAGGCCTGGAGGGATTGGACTGGGAGGTGAGATGAGCTGGCATCAGAGTTGCTGTTCAGCTGAGTTTGCAGGTTCGCCATCCACGTTCCCAGGGACGTTGGCTTTCCAGGAATAAGGGGTGGAGAGAGATGCCACTGGGGTTACAGACGCCCGGCCCCACGCCCCGCTCGGCCACACGGGAGGGGAGAGGCGAAAGCCTCAAGCTCTCATTTCCTCTCACATTCTGAAAACCCTTCTTTTCTTTTCAAAGGTGAGAAATGTCGCAGCTTCATTGACCTGGCCCCAGCATCGGAGAAAGGTAAGTGTGGCCCCCGCTCGAGTGTACAAGCCCCACCCTCTCCGGGGACACCTCCCCGCGCAGGTGGCTTCCTGCAGCCCCGTGAGAGCCTCTCCTTCAGCATCCTGGGCGATGGCTGAGCAGTCCTTGACGTGGGAGAGGCAGGTGGAGAAGAGCATCTTGTCTCCCCGCCCAGTGGGTTGGTCCCCAGAGTCATCGCACTTCTGTGACTTCCAGGGAACACTGGAACTTTGCGGGAGGGAGGATGGGTGTACGGGAGTTGGGGCCAGGCAAGACCAGTGTCGGGGGCATTGCCTCCAGCTGTCGGATTTGACCTTGGCGGAGGGAAGCCAGGTGTGCTGTCTCTGTTGTCGCACAGGTGTGAGGAGGCCCAGCCTGACTGGACCCTGCTGAGCAAGAGATTTTCATTGGTCTGCAGGGCCCAATGACAGAGATTCTGCGCCCGCAGTGATGCTCAGAGCCATGCAGGGCAGGAGTGGGATGGTTAGCAGCAGGCTGCAGCTTATGTAGGGAGCATGGCAGTCAGAGTTAGGTTTAGCTGCAAGTAATAGTGACCCCAAATCACTGGCTTCCATGGAGAAATTTACTTATCTCTCCTATAAAGGTTGGAAATCAGGCAATCCAGGGGGGCTGTGCTCCATGCGGTCCTCAGGATCCAGGCCCCTGCTGCCCCTCTCCATCATCCTTGTGGCCTTTGTCCTCGTGGTGTAAGATGGTGGCTGGGGCTCCAGCAGTCACATCTGCCTTCTAGGCAGTAGGAGAGAGGAGGGGCCAAGAAGAAAGGGCAAAGCTTGCATGTCGACTCTAAGGTTCCCAGAAGTTGCCCCGTAACACCTGCTGGTATCCACTTGGCCAGAACTTGGTCACAGGGCCACGCTCAGCTGCAAAGGAGGCTGGGAAAGGTGTCTTTATCCTGGCAACTCTGTGCTTAACTGAAAGTCAGGGGTCTTATTATTATGGAAGAGCAGGAGAATGGATACTGGAGGATGCGTGGCCGCCTCCCCGCTGCCACCAAGGACGGCTGACAAGAGAGAGCAGGTGGGCAGGGCTCTTCAAACAGCCTGGAGATGAGGGGAGGGCTGTGGTCCTGGGAGTTGGGGTGGGGAAACTGAGGCAGAAGTCCACTGGTATAAACTGTCCCAGCGCGGGAGGGCCCTTGGCGTGTGTGGCTCACAGGGAATTCTTGAGTCCAGGATGTGTGGCCACCCACGCCCCCTGCTGGTGGGGCCAAGCTGTGCAGCGTCAGGAGATTCAGGGACCTGGAGGGCCACATCTCTGACCCCTCCCCGCTGTTGGTGGGAGGAGCGGGGAGGTGGACTGTGTGTCATGGAGGCTGCTGACGTTCCCATCTCGCAGACAGCGTCTCCTTGGAGAGCTCCAGCCGGGCGGCAGTTGGTGAGACTGAGGGGCACAAGACAAGCTACCCACAGGGCCTGCGGGCCCAGGAAGAGGCCAGGGCCCCACTGGGCAAGCTTTCGGCAGTGGGGGCTGCCTCCTCTGTTTCCTCGGCATCCCTGTGGCTGAGTCCTGTTTAGTTCTCCATGTGGCCATCCCTGGAGTCTTGGGCAGAGCAGCTTGGGCCACGGCTTCCAAGCTGAGGCCTTGAGGAACCGCTACAAATACCGCTGCTGATGATCGGCTGACCTGTGTTGAGCAGTTACTGTGTGCCGGGCCCGTGCCAAGCACTGTATGTGTATTAACTGAGAAACCTCCCCGCAACCTCGTGAGGGAGGGGCTGCCGTTCTCACCCCACTCGACAGAGGAGGAAACTGAGGCTTAGAGAGATTCAGCCACTTAAGTCTCACATCTCATAAGGGGCAGAGCCATGCTCCTCCGTACCCCTCTGTCGTACTGCACCTTAGAAGCCAACACGCGGAGCAGCCGTCTAGGATGCTCACCCATAATCCCCAGGGCCCTGGAGTTCCTGGGTCAACTCTGCTCCAAATCTGGCTTCCAGGAAGCAGGGCCCGTGGGTGCACACACATACATGTGTGTGTGTCTGGTTGAGGGTGAGTGTGTGCATGTATGAGCAGGCACTCCTGTGAGAGAGTGTGCACATGTGTCTCGTGTGTGCACACGTGCATGCTGGTGGGTGAGCACGTGTGAGCGTGGAGGTGTGTACACATATGCACAAGTGAGAGTGTGTGTCCAAGTGTGAGCATGCATGGACGTGTGTGTGCAGTGTGAGTGTGTGGGTGTGTGTACACATGTGTCCGTGTACAGTGGCAGGCGGGTTGCTCGTCCCTCCTCCCAGGGGGCATCAGACCTTTATTCTTGCTTCTTTTACGAGGGCCGAGGGCCCCAGAGAGGTTGTGTCTTTGTGTTTTGTTGGCCTCGTGCTCTTACTTTCAGGGCTTGGCAGCCACACCGAGGACCTTCTGGCCGCATATATAAAAATGTGTTACAAGGACGCTGAGGGGCTGGCTCTGCCACCAAGTTGCAGAAGGATTTTCGTGTGCTCGCTGCCTCTCAAGCACTTGAGCGCTCCCTGGGGCGGTGGGCTTGGTCGTGGCCGCCCCTGTGGCCTCTCCCCGGACTGCCAGGCCTGGCCCTCCTGGAGGCGCCTGCAGGGCTGTGGCGCTCACGGATCCATCCACTTGCTCACCGGGTCCTCACACATGGACTGTCTGTTTCACAGATGAGGAACCGAAGCTGCAGAGACGAGGGACTTGTTTAGGGCCATGCGGGGAGTCTGGGACCGCTGTTTGAGCTGAGCTGTGCTCTCCCCCAAAGGACACACTTCTCCCTGGTTCTTGCCCCTGCCCCGGCTCCCTCCGTGACTTCCCTCCTGGTCTGCACAGTATGGTAGTGATCATGACACTAACACTAACTAGATTTCTTGCAGTGCTTACCACGTGCCAGGTGCTGTTCTGAGAACTTTGCACACATTGGCTCATTTAATCCCCACTTTACAGATGAGGAAATGGAGGCACAGAGAGTTAATTCATTTGCCCAAGGTCACACAGTCAGGATGCTGGGATCGGAACCTGAGCGGTCTGGCTTTTAAATGCCTGGTTCTTCTGCTGAAAAGCTAGGTCTCTGAGACCCTGTGTGTGTGTGTGTGTGTGTGTGGCTGAGGGTCAGTGTGTGTACACATGAGCATGTGCTGCTGTGTGAGTATATGCACGTGTGTCTCATGCTTACATGCTGCTGGGTGAGCCTGTGTGAGCACGGGGCGTGTACACATGTGCACATGTGAGAGTGTATGTGCCGGTGCATAGGTATGTGTCCGAGTGTGAGCGTGCACGGCTATGTGTGTGCGTGTGTGAGCATGCTCGTGTGCTGGGTGAGAGCCCCCCTTCCTCCTTCGGGCTTCCTCAGGCTGCTGCTCCCCTTCCTTTCTTAACCTCCTTCCGCCCGGCAGACCACAGTCACGCTTTCAAGGTCCTTCTCAATGGCACCCCCATTTGACCTTTTTTCCGATACCCTCCTACCCCTGCTCCCCGACCTTCTTCCTGGCAAAATATTTGTCTGTCACCAGTGTTGTTACCATGGCACACATTTTTCTCCGTTTGCCTGACCGTTCTAGTTTCGTGTTTCACATGGGAAATACCTTTTCATTTTACACTGCCTTAAGCCACATCCATTTTCATCAGGATTCCTGCCGCAGTCTCTTGACTGGTCACCTCCTTCCGTTTTTGCCCCCGATTCACTTGTAGCCAGAATGATCTTTTTAAAGCATAAATCATCTCATGTGACTCCCTGTTTAAAACCCTCCCTTGTCTTCCATCTCACGCAGAGTAAAAGTCAGTGCCCTCATCGTGGTCTATAAAGTCTGTGGGGTCTGGCCCTGCTCCTCTGGGGTCTCATCTCCTGCAGCCTCCCCTCCCTCGCCACGCTCCAGCTCTCCAAATTCCTTACTGTTCCTTGAGTCAGCCAGGCTAGTGTGGGCCTCGGGGCCTTTGCACTTGCTGTTCCCTGCTCCTGGGACACTGTTCTTTCAGCTGTCTGCACAGCTGGTCCCTTCTCTGTCAGGTTTCGGTTCGAGTGTCGCATCTTCAGGGAGGCCTTCCCTGAACATCCTCTTTAGTGCAACCCCTTCCTCCTACCAAGCCCCTCTCCACTCGCTTCACTGTTCCCCTGTCTTCACATCACTTATTGCTACCTGATGTGCAGTCAGTGCTTATGTGACGCACGCTGGACTCCCCCAACAGACCGTCGGCTCCGCGAGGGCGGGGCCTTGTCTTGTTTGTACTCACTGTGTGCCCCATGCCCAGACAACACCTGGCACTGACACGTGCTCCACAATACATGTTGAATGAATGAATGAAGAGTACGCGTTGATTTTAAATAGTGTACACGCTTGTTCTGAAAATTGTAATGACCCCCAAATGTGTAAATTAGAAATGAGAGTCTCTTATAAGCCCACCCTTAGATAGTCACTAGTAATGGTTTGGTTTAGCAGCCTTTTAAGAGAGAGAGATAAATAGATAGATAGACAGATAGACAGATAGATAGATAGATACACACATATACATATATACTTATATATATAATCATGGATTATTTTTCATATCAGTACATAGAACTCACCCTCATCTTTGGAACAACTGTGTGAAATTCTATCATATAGAGACAATTTATTTAACCAAGCCCTGTAGCTGGACATTCACATTACGCCCCACTGCACCCTGAGCATCCTGTATCACAATGAATAATAGTCACTATACACATATCTTTCTCCCTCACAGGACTGGGGCTCTCTGAGGGTAGAAATGGTTCTTATTTACCTCTGGGCCTCCAGGGCCCAGCCCAGCACTGGGGCACCACTGGCAGAGCAGCATAACAAAGGTCTGCACAGCAGGCCATGGGGGCAGAGGAGGGGGAATGAATGAAAGATGCCTGAGCAATTTATGGAGATGAAATATGCAAATGGAGACACAGCAGTGTCTCTGTGTTGTGAACTTGACATTGGAAATGCAGAGGAGAAGCTTCTCATGTTCCTTGTCTTCCTCCTCAAGGCTTCCCTTGTCTCTCAGAATCACAGTCTGTTATTCACT